ATGCATCCAGGCCAAACACCCACCCTCAATCCTTAAACCGAGAAGGTCTGAGAAAGGTGACTGTAGGTACAAGTCTCCTTTGAAGGTGGATGTTTAAAGTACTAGGACCTGGGAATATATCCCAGAGAGGCAAAAAAGTATAGTCGAAGTGACATCTGCACTTGCGTGTTCATTGTAGCACTGTTTACAATAGCTAGAATCTGGAAAAAACCTGAGTGCCCGAGAACAGATGACTGGTCAAAGAAACTTTGGTACATCTACACAATGGAGTACTATGTAGCTGTTAGGAAAGATGAAGTCATGAAATTTACATACAAGTGGTACCACATGGAAAGTATCATGCTAAGCGAAATGAGTCAGAAAGAAAGGGACAGACATAGAAAGATTGCATTCATCTGGGGAACATAAAGTAACAAAATAGGAGGCTAACACCCAAGAATAGCCGAGATAAGTATCAGGAGGTTCACTCCATTGCTTGGAGGCCAGCCGCACATGCTAGGGGAAAATGCAGCTCAGATAGAGAAGGGAGCACCAAATAAAGGGTGTTGAGAGGATCCTCCCAGGATGGGAGATGCGTGCTGAGAGTAGACTATAGACTGAACATGACTGCCACTCAATAACGATTTTGCAAACCACAGCACCCAAAAGGAGAGAGAGAACAAAAGGGAATGCCCTACCACAGAGGCAGGAGGGGATGGGGGGTGGGGGATGAGGGGTGGGAAGGATACTGGGATCAGTGGTGGTGGAGAATGGGCACTGGTGGAGGGATGGGCGTTCGATCATTGTATAACTGAAATCCAAGCACAAAAATTTGTAAGTCTACAACTGTACCTCATGGTGTTTCACTAATAAAATGAAGCACTGTCCTCCCGTTATTCATCGATTTGCTCGAGTGGGCCCAGTAACATCTCCATTGTGAGACTCGTTGTTACTGTGTTTGGCATATCAAATACTTCACGGGGAGCTTGCCAGGCTTTGCTGTGCAGGCGAGATACTCTCGGTAACTTGCCAGGCTCTCCAAGAGGGGCGGAGGAATCGAACCCAGCACGGCTACCCAGCTGCGCGCAAAGCAAACGCCCTACCTCTGTGCTATCGCTCCAGTCCCCTCACTAATAAAATTTTTTTAAAAAAATAAAGTACTAGGACAAAGGCTGGGCTGAAGGATGGAAGTTTTTTTTTCTTTCTTGTAGATGGCAATGTTAAAGATAAGAACTTCACATAAGGAATTTCATACAAAAGAATTGAAGGTGAAGTAAAAATTTAAAAAGGTAATGTTAGATATTGTTTTCCCAGCACTTTCACATTTTCACCTTCCTATAAAGTTAGACATTATTCTGTTCATTCCTCAGATGAGGGAAGATGAGTCACTTCCCAAGTTTGTAAACTAGAAAGTGTACAGTTGAACTTAAAAACCCAGGGCATTCACTGCAAGCCTGGGAACTTTTTCCTGTGTCCCTTATCACTTTTTTTTATCAGTGATTTTGTAGTGCTCCTTTCATGTTGATGGTGAAGTCTCCTTGTATTTCCTTTCCTTAGGGGAAAGGCTGGTCCTACTTTGACAGTAATGCTTTCGCTTGCTATTTCTTCTTGAATTTCCTGCAATAACCTCCTTCCCTCCCATTATTCCCTCCTCACTTCTTCCTCACCTCCAACCAAGTGAAATACCAAGGAATAAAGAATCCCAATAGATGAAGAGTTGACAAAGAGAGATCTCTGCTTCCTCAGCCACAGGCCCATCAAACGTGAGAAAAAAAACATATTGGAAGAAGGAAAATGTTACCATTGTGGTCCAAGAAAAAAATCCACCAATACCCAGCACGACTAGGTACTGTGTGTGTGTGAGGGGGGGAAGGCAAATTTGGATCACACCTGGTAGTACTCAGGGATCACTCCTGGTGATGCTCCAGGGACCATATGTGATGTTGGGGATCACCCTGGCGCTGGCACCATACAAAGCAAGCACCTTAATCCATGTATTATCTCTCCAGTCCTGTGTCCTAATTTTGTAGGACCACAAGGAACCTATATGATTGCTGAACTTCCCTATTTACAGAAGATGAAAAACCAAATCCCAAGAAGATGAAAGAACTTAAACACATTAGTGAGAGGTGGAGTCTAGATTAAAATCCAGGTCTCTGAATTAGGGTCAATGCTCTTCCACTAACGTCGTTTTCCATTTTTGCTTTTTCTCCATCAACATCTCAGTTTAAAGGGGCTCATGGTGCTTTCGAAAGGGAAAGTTTAGTGTTGGTGTCTCTAGAAAGCCCAGAGCCCCCACTCTGATCAGTTCATGTCCTCATGTAAAGAACAGGAAGTAACATCATTTTTAGCTCTGCAAGCACATTCGAGGTTGGGAAAGGGGGATTTGGAGGAAGAAAGTTCAAATACATGATAATAAAAAACAAGCACCAGTCACATTTCTCTTGCTTGGACAAGGGGAAGATATACGCCCAGACATGCCAGGGGAAGCTGTAGTCTGCTCTTGAATTTTAAGCAGAACATGTCCTCAGCAAAAAACTTCCCCAGGTCGGGGAGGGGACCAGTTCAGTTGGGGCTGAATGCCAACGTGGGAGTTGAGGTCATCAGGGTGGGAAAGTTTGCAGGAACTTTCTATAACCTCCAATGCTTCTCCCACCCTCTGCTAGCACCCACAACTTCCCCCGCCAAGCAAGGAAGTAGGAACACATTATTATTCAATTTAATAATTTATAAAAATGGAAAAGTTTACTGTGTGAAATACAGGGAACTTTAAAGGACAACGGAGAAATAATAATTTCTGAGTCTTCTTCTAAAGAACAGAGGTACTCAAAAGACAGGTTGACCTTACCTTGGAATATAACAATTTGATGATCTAGTAAATGGCTTCGCTAGTAAACAGTAAGCAAGTAAACTCGCTCTTTGAAGCGCGCCCAAGTTTTATTTCCTTCTCCTGGCAGGACCACACTGAACCTTAGCACTAACAGCTTGGGTGATCAAAGAACAGAGCCAGATTCAGGAACACCTGTCTATATCAAGGGTTCTCAAACCCAGCAATCCACTGGAGTTGTCTAGAGAGATCATTACAAATTTAGATTCTCAGAAAGTGTTCCAGAGACTGATTAGACAGATCTAGGCTGCGGCCCAGAAATCTTCATTTTCAAGGAGCATGCTTGGTTTGAGAACCAATGATCTGGTTCAGCCTTATTCATTCAACTATCAGTGTTTTTCTCATACAAGAGGATGTGTGTGTGTGTGGGGGGGGGAGGGGTGTGGGTGGTGTGATGTGTGTGTGTTGTGTTTTATTTTTTAAAAAATCTTTTTTTGGTGTACAGGGCTTACTCCTGACCTTGCACTCAGGGTTCATTCCTGGCAGGTCTCAGGGGATAAATATATGGTGCCAAGAATCTAACCTAGGTCAGCTACATACAAGGGAAGCACATTAACCCCTGTAATATCTCCCTGGTTTTACAGCAAAGAAAATGGAAGCACTCAAAAGTAGCAGGACTTGGACTCGATTCCAGTTTTTTGGCTCCTGCTGTGGTATCTTTGTTGATCCTGTACACTTGGTTATTCTCCCCCAAATTCCCAGTTCTTTGAGAAGACTTGAGAATCATTAGACACCTTTATTCATTCACAGAGAAATCAGAGCTGCTGGAAACATTCAGTTCTACTTGGTTCATGGTAAAAATGATTGGCAAAGGGTAGTAGAGAAGGCTGTTTAAAGGCACTCTTACACTGTGTCCTTAAACTGTCTTAAGCTGTGTTGGATTAAAGGGGAAAGGCCCAACTGGTGGCCTGTAAGTCATGCCATTCAGATGTCCCAGGCTAAAAGAATAGGCCATTCCTAGAAGAATCTGCTGTGTTAGAGGAGAACACAGTGGTAGATGAAGAGAGAGTGAAGAGAGTGAAGACTGAGTAGCAGAAAATGAAATCTTGGAGGAAATGGGAGGCCAGACCATCCGCGGTTCTTATCCAGATCACATCTAAGTCTTTTGACTTTTTCTCTGAGCCACTGCAGTATGTTGAGTAGAGAAGTGGCATAATCTAACATTTCTCTAAAGGTGCTCTGATACAGCGATGACAAAAGACTGTGTGGGGCAGGGGTAGAAATACGGACTCTGGTGGGGAGGACTGTGGTACTCTAGGAACAGAAAGTGACTCAGACCATGGTGGCAGGAATACAGGGGTAAAAAATGTTGGGTCTTGGATGTTTTTTTTTAAAGCACAACTAACAGATTTCTTGATGGATCGGATGGGAGACGTGAGAAAAAGGAAGAGTCAAGGATGGTGCCAAATGTTCTGGCTTGAGCAACTGGCAGGTTGGAGTTATTATCAACGGAGACAAAGAAGGCTGTGGGTGGAGAGGTTTGGGGGAAGGACATCAGGTTCAGTTTTGGACCTGCTGAGTCATTGGCATTCACATGGTACTTAAATAAAGTCTCACCACTGGATGAGATCATTAAGAGGGTGAGTAGAAACAGAAATGAATGAGGACTCTGCTTGGGGAAACCCCCCTCAACATTTGGGGGTTAGAGAAAAGATGAGGAATCAGCAAAAGAGTTTGAGAAAGAGGAACTAGTGGGGCAGGAGGAAAACCAGGAATGTGTAGAGTCTTAGAAGTCCAGTGAAAAGTTTTCAGAAAGAAGGAGTCATCAATTGGGTGAAATGTTTCTGGTAGGTTAATTGAGATCAAGGTTGAGAACTGACTGTTGCACTTACTTTATGGAGGACACTGGTAACCCTGAAAGCACTTAATGCCTGGAGTCCCATGGTTTATCTGCTGGCTATCAGTTAGATCTTATGGATAATTTCCTCTTTTCAATTAATATATAAGCTTTTTTTTCCATTAGGGATGATGAATTGGTATATCCCCAGAGCTCTTGGTCCTTGTCAGGCTATCAGGTCTGTCAGGTCTTCTAGACCCTGCTGTAGAGACACCTATACAGTTTTCTACGAGACCCATGAGTATCACATTCAGTCGGGACACTGATCTACAGCTGTTATTTTCTTGGTTGGCTTACCTTGGACACAGAATTTCAGTTCCTTGGGATCAGTGACAACCTTCCTGCTTTCCCGAATCACAGTTCTGTTCTTCTTGGTTTCTCCCCAGAGGTTGGTGCCACCATACATGCTGGGAATGTTGAGAATGGCAATGCCTTCAAGGAATATATTGCTCAAGTCCACGCCAACCCCATCACACTGGTGGGCAGAGAGAAAGATTATTAGTTATTATCCTCAGTACAGCCTAATCCAGGGTATATGTGATGGGTTGGGTGAGGGGGTGGGAGCTCTTATAAAAGAGGTGGCGGGCCTTCAGCCATCTGTTGGCCTCTGTTAGAAGCCGAATTTTGGGGAAAGTTGCTCTGGCCTAATGTTTCAGCCACTGCAGGAAGATGGGAGAGATCCAATCTGGTCAAATGAGTAAAGAATACATAAGCCTCTAAGAGCCCTCTACAGGTCTAGAATGGTTTCCCAAAATGGATGATACTATCACCACAGGGAGGTTGGAATGATAAGGGGAAGGTGCGTGTGCGTGTGGGGTCAGTAGTATTGTGGTCTACTACTGGGGACACTTTCTATTTATTCACTTAAGATAGATTTCCAAGGGGGTACTATAATTTTTTCTTCTGAAAAGGAGATGATAGGCTAAATAAGCTGTGGAATCTCTAATCTAGAATGTCTTTAAGGGATGAACCAAAAGACAGATACAAGATTGTGATCCAGTCCAATATCATTATCATCAATTCTTCCCTTTCTTAACCATCATGAATTTTGGTGGGACATTGCATTCAAAATCTTACAATAGTAGATTCTCAACAAATGAGAGAAAAGTTTTATTTTTGCTGCCTTATTTCATCCCTTTTGGGAGAAGTACAAGAAGAAGATTTGGATGGCTTTCAGGATTTGCCTGTCTCCCGTATCTGTATCATAAGTGCAATTTTGGCATATGTGCTTGCTGAGAGCGCAGAATTTCCTTATCCAATCTCTACCACCCACATTTGCACCAAGAACAAAAGGCCAGAAGGCTTGAATTTGTCTGTCTCATCTATCTATTAAGTCGGCCCACTTTGGCATAATGCTTACCAACACAGCAAGAAATATATTCCTAGCTTTTCTCCTTGTTCTTCAAGGTTGTAGGTAGTTTACTTCATTTACAGAAGGAAAAAGCTTGACTCAGGGAGGTGAGCTAAGTCAACAGATAAATAACAGAGAAGGGATTGGAACTTGGGGAACTAACTGCAAAGCCCATGTCCTATATCACGTTTACCGTGAGACAGGAAAAATCAAAGCACCAAACAAAAATCCACTCATTTCAAGGCCATTCATCACCTAGTTATCAGCCAGGCTTCCCTATTCTGAACTTGTGTAGGTATATTGTTGATTCTATTACGTAGATGTACTGCTTTACACTGATATCAAGTAATTGCATCCGGTTTTCAACCCAAACCTCCTCTAGTCCATCCAGTTTATTTCAAGCTTTATATTATGGTTTTATCACTTGGAGAACAAGTCATTAATATTCGTACATAAAGGACAAACGAAGGGAGTGGAACCTTCTCCTTGGGTAGCCCTCGCCTCAGTTAATGCACAGCAAACATTGTACATTAACCACTCTCAGCGGGTGAGAGGTTATTCAGGTTGCAGCTTCTTTATTGGCTGTTTCCAGCCCATTTTCTATAATAGTGTGGATTCACAAGACCTAGAGGTAAGAGGGAACTAAGAGAACATGCCCATCTTTCACCAATGAGGTCCAGCAAATTAAAGGCATTTGTTGTGGTCACCCAGCTTAATGGTGATTAGTGGACTCCAGGCCTTTGTACTCCAATCCTGTTTTATGTTCTTTTCACAAAAACATAATATACTGGACTAAGATCAAATAACATTTCCTAAATAATCACCACAGCCTCTATCAGCAAAGAAGAGAACACATGCTTAGTGACTAATATCTATAAAGAGCAAATACTTTATTAATATTTATTCCAGAATCTTGCCAATGCTGGGTATGTAGTGTATTTGTCTTTGTTTCCCAGAACATATTCCCCACCTTCCATTGTTTAAAAAAAAAAAAGAAAAAATTCATTTGTTTGGGGCTGGAGCGATAGTACAGTGGATAGGGCATTTGCCTTGCATGCGTCCAACCCGGGTTCGATTCCCAACATCCCATATGGTCCCCTGAGCACCTCCAGGAGTAATTCCTGAGTGCAAAGCCAGGATAACCTCTGTGCATTGCTGGGTGTGACCCAAAAAGAAAAAACAGAGTATTTATCTGTTTGCCTCGCACTAGATGGGATCATCTCTGTCATCTAGGTTTGTCAAAAATAGCCCTTGAATGATATCTGTAGGTTTGTCCAGCAAAGTGACACTTCAAATGTGTGCATTGTCTAGCACCAGTTAGATCCCTACCTGAAACCCTGGTACCTACATTTATTATCTGGTCATCTATATTTTCAGTCTGTAAACTTTCCAGAAAAGAGAAAACTATTCAGGAAAGGCCAAGTCCTAGCATACGACACATGCCTGGCTTTGAGATTGCCAGACGCCAGATTTACAGGTCCAAGCTGCCTTTGTATATTCACAGCTGGTTACAAGCCCATCTCCTGCCTTTGTGTATCTATCCTGACATCCCCTGAAAGCAGTTTAGGTACCAGCTCTGTGATAAGTCTCATGGAAAAAAAATATATCTTGTTAACCTTCCTTCCTTTCTCTTTTCAATAGGATTATTGAATTGGTTGAAATTTATTTGAAAGATGTTCCTTCCTTAAAGGAACATCTTAAACCTTAAAGATTTAGGCTAAAATCTCACTGTTGAGACTATTCTCTTGTCCAGAGCCTCTAAAAGGAGCTGTGCTTGCCACGATGCCTGGCATCTTCTCGTATCTGAATCACCTCCTGGCCAACACAGTTCCTCTTGCTTGTGGTTACTTCTAGGTCACCTCAACACACTCGTGGTTAAACACAATCCCTCTCCCTTTGGAGCGGTCATAAAATAATATTAGCAGCTCACACAGCGTGAGATCCTCCCTCCCCCATATTCTCTTGCGGTTCTCAGACAAGCGCAGTGAGGGAGGTCTGAGCGCCTAGGGACTAAGGAGCTGGATGGTGGCCCTGTGACCTGCCACCACCTGACAAACTGACAGAATAGCAGGCACACCCAAGCACTAAGCAGAGCTCCCTCCTACTCTGGAGATGAGAGCCTTTGAGGCAAAGGGAACTTTTGCTGATGCTACACTTAGAAAATTAAGCTTCCAGCTGTTGTTTGAATAATTGAAATCTTCCACCACTACTTTATCTTATAGAGTACTTAGAGCAGTGTGTGGCACAGCAGTGCAGGATCTTAGGATCGTTATAGCTTGACTTTGCACCAGCTTGGTTGGGCAGTGGTGGGGGGGGGGAGGGGGAGGGAAGTCAGCCACCATCACTGGATCATCCTTGGCAGAGTATTCCGCAAATATCACCTTTCTTCCCTCCTGCACTTTCCTCCATCTTCAGTCAGAACCAGCTAGGATGTCTGCCAGCTATACCCTTTTTTTTTTTTTTTTTTTGCTTTTTGGGTCACACCCAGCGAAGCACAGGGGTTATTCCTGGTTCTGCACTCAGGAATTACCCCTGGCGGTGTTCAGGGGACCATATGGGATGCTGGGAATCAAACCCCGGTCGGCCGCGTGCAAGGCGAACGCCCTACCCGCTGGGCTATTGCTCCAGCCCCTGGGAACTATACTCTCGGTAAGCTCTTCACCTCTCTGGAAGCACAGTTCTCACCCTTCACTCTAATCAACCATCCTACCTTCTGGCATGATCTCATCACCTAGGCCAAGGAGGGAAAAATGGAATCTCTAAAATCTCACTGTGGAGATTATTCTCTTGTCCAGAGCGTTGGGGGGAGGAGGAGGGGGAGAGCCTGACCACAGCGGGAGGCCGGATGTAGACGTCCCCAGCCTGGGGACTCAGCGATTTGAAAATAAGGAGTGTCTTGCAAAGAGCATGCCTGGGCTTCCAGACAGAGAGATACGGGTTTATACTTGGCTCTGTCACTTGCCTTTGTCACTGCGTGATCCTTAAATTCCCTGAGCCTCAACCTGTCACCAGTAACACTGGAGGTGGAGGCAGAGCATCTTCAGGAGTCTGGTCTCTCTGGAAGGCAAGAAGCATTCCAGGAACTGCCCTGCATTCTGAACCCCGTTTCCTCCGTCCTTGGGCCAGGAGCCTTATTTGGGCCCAACAATCACATCCCCTCGACCCGCCCTGCCTCTGGGGGTATTTCAAAGGTCCGTAAGCTTCACCCCGTCAGCGAGACCCGTTCTGCGCGGTTCTGGGCCTGGCTGGACCAACCCTGATTTCCTTCAGAATACCGGGTTCGCTAAGGTCTCCGGAGAGTTGGGGAGTCGGTATTTGGGCCGCTCCAGGGCTGAGCAAAAGGCTCCAAACGTTCCATGACGTCACCCGCCCCTCCCCCGGCTCCAGCGAGGCCTGCGAGGGAGGGGGAGGGCTGGAGGCCTGGAGGAGTGGGGGGTGCAGGGAGGCGGTCCCAGTGCACACCTTGAGCTCCCCCACCCCTCCCCCGCCTTCGGCAGCGCTGCGCTGGGAACCAGATTATTTCTCTAACCCGGCCGCGCCCCATGGAGCACGAGCGCGCGCACGGCCGATGCGGGTACCCAGGATGCGCGCGAGCACCGGGTGAGGGGGATGCGGGGCCCCCACGTTAGCCCCGAGGCGGCGCCAACCCGCAGACCGGAGACAGAGCCCGGAGTCTGGTTCCCTTCTGCGCCTGGACGCTGGGTTGGTCCCTATAGGCACAGGGAGGGGGCACAGGGCTCGGGACCACCTCCCCCTTCCCAGCCCGAAAATGTATCTGTGCAGATGAAACGCACTCGGCAATTAGTATTCCTCCTGTACCTGCCCCCCACCGACTTGTCTCTCGGATTCCCTCAAATGTCTGTCAATCGGGGTAGAACGGGGCCCCTACAAATAATTTTTTTTTAAATATTGTAAATGGTTGTGATTGTGTGAGTCGTTCAACACAAGTTTTCCTTATCTCCCTGACCCTTTCTCTATATATTCTCCTTGTCTTTACTATTACAAAAAAAAAAAAAAACTTTGCCTAAGTGACATATTTGTTTAATGTTGCTGTTACAAGTACAACCATTACTATTGATAATAAAAGACTAAAAGGAGAGAGAGGAGGAGGAAGAGGAGGTGGA